CATGACAACAAAGCAGCTCACATTCAACCATCTTCAAACTGTCACATCACTCATTCAGGAGTCAAAGTGTCAATAAATGATCAATAACTGCAGCTGGATTGTGTTTGTTCTCCATCAGATTCCTGTCAACTCACCATCGACACAAACACAGTGAACAGAAACCTCAAACTGTCTGAAGACAACAGGAAGGTGACATGGGAGGAGCTTCAGTCATATCCTGATCATCCAGACAGATTTGATTCTCTTCAGCTGCTGTGTAGAACTGGTCTGACTGGTCACTGTTACTGGGAGGTTGAGTGGAGAGGAGATGTTGATATATCAGTGAGTTACAGAAGAATCAAGAGGAAAGGAATCAGTAGAGACTGTTGGTTTGGATGTAATGATCATTCCTGGAGTCTGAGCTGCTCTGATTTTAATGGTTACTCTGTCTGGCACAATAACATAGAAACTCGTCTCCTTCTCCTCTGACTCTAACAGAGTAGCAGTGTATGTGGACTGTCCTGCTGGCATTCTGTCCTTCTACAGAGTCTCCTCTGACTCACTGATCCTCCTCCACACCTTCAACACCACATTCAATGAACCTCTGATTCCTGGATTTGGGTTCTGGTCCAGTTCTGGTTCCTTAGTGTTTCTGAACTGATTTGAGTCTAAAGAGTCAAAAGTTTTTCCTCCTGTCAGAGAAACTCTCTCACTGTTGAACAGATAGTTCAGTCTATTTCTTGGTGAAATTATTCTGATTGAGTCCTTGGGAACTTTTTCTTCTTCCAGTCCTTTAAAAATGGAAACTGGGATTATTCCAGGATTATTTCGGGATTATTCCAGGATTATTCCAGGATTATTCCAGGATTCACATGTTTTTCAGTTTTTTTCTTGTCATAGCTTCACTCTATCAAGAGATGCTGGTATACTGGTGGTGAAGCAGCAGGCAGAAAACCCAGGATATAGTTAAATGATGGTTTTAATAGTAAAAATAGTCCAAGTGGAAACACAAAAACAGGCAGCATGGCTGAGCTGAAGCCAGGGCTCAACGCCTGTAGCAACTGTTCATCCTGGTGGACAGAAGAACAGGCTTGACAAAATGATGTGAAGAACGATGAGGACCCGATGAGGAACAAAGGACAACCGTGGGATTAAATACACAGATGGTAATCACAGAAACGAGAAACACCTGGGAACAATCAAGGGGAAACAGGACAACGCAGAGACTGGAAGCATCACAGAAAAATAAGGACCGCTCATTTTGAAGGCTGCCTACGTTCAATAACATGAAAAAACTGCATGTTTTATATGAATTCAATTAGTACTTAATACTCTTAACACAAAGTGAAAGTACAAATGTAATGTGTTTTTTTCTAAATTCCTTCATTTTATGAAAAGATGGTTAGCTCTCTTTATACAGGAGAAAACTATTTTAAGAGAGTTGCCACTGATCAATTAATCGTTATTGATTCTAAGACCAATCATCTTTAGATTAATTCAATCAATCTGTAAAAATATTAAATAAATTAGTGGTTTTCACTGGCTATACCCAGTAATTATTCATTAAATATAACAAATTCTAAAAACACCAGTCTCTTAATGTTATTCCTTTAAAAATAAGTTTTGTTTCTAAAATGATCAAATTAAAATAAGTTACTTGTTGATTTTATAAGGATTTTTGTAAAATTGTAAAAGTTTCAAATTTCACAATAAAATAATCTCATTAATCCTACATGATTAATTTCCATTTTTATTCAACAATTAATTTCACCTCCAAAAACCTAATTTTTAGTTTATTCCTTGACAATTTTTTTATTATTCCCCAATAATTAAATCAAATTTACTGACAAAGATCCATAAGTTAAAACCTGAATCTCTAACAGGGAACATTTAATATCCATATCTGGTTTAAAAGGCTCAAAATTAGCAGCCATGTTTAAAAATGTTGGTCATCCTGAAACCCAAGTGGCTGATGGGAAACCTGAGGGGTTAGCATGCTAATCTTTATCCCTGTATCTACACTTTAATTACTCTTTCAGTGAAATGCCGAATTTAAATACTTCATCATGTATATTTACATAAGTCTACTCTGAGTCTAGTCAAAGTTTTTATAATGAATCAGTGATTTATGATGTGTTCAGAGCCAATCCAAGCTAAAATTATTTAATTGTTCATAACATAAATATCATGTTTTATTACAATTTGGCAAACCAAGAGATTATTCATGTGTTTTATTTACTGTCACAAAGCTTGACCTCATGACCTCGTGTGTTTTCTCCTGTAGAGGAAGTGCTGCTGCTTCTGTTTTAGCTCAAACCTGAAACAATCGACCTCCTGATGAACACAAAGTTCTGCAGAGTGTGTGTGAACACACCACTGGGTGTGTGTGTGTTGACCGCTGCCTTCTTGTCTTGATCACATGCAAATCAGCTGTTATGAAATGTATTTCCTGCTCCATTTCAGAAACACTTTCCCACTCAGAAGTAATAAAATACACACATTTTGAAGCGATGTTCATTTATATTTGTCAAACTGGCAGATTAAGCAAAGATCAGAGTGTTTGGTTATTGATCTCTGTTAAAAAGGGAGAGGTTTCGGGTTTTCATAACTTTAGAGCAAAGATAAACTCTGAAGGACTTTCCAGGATGTGATTACATGATCCTTACAAAAACATTTTATTCTTAGACCAAAAATAAACAATTCCTCTTCATTTCAGGTGAATAACTGCAAGGTGAAAGTCCTGATACACAAAGAGTGAGTCAAGATTCCAAGATTTTACTAATAAAACAGTTTTTTATCAAGCCAGATAATTTAGATTTTTCTTTCCAGGCTGAGAGAAGAAAAATGGATGAACATTCAGGTTGGAAACATCATCAAACTGGAGAGCAACCAGTTTGTTCCAGAACTTTCTGATCTCAGATCTGGAAACAAACTTTAACTGAGACGTTACTGAAGCTTGATGTTCAGTTGGTCTAAATCTAAAGCTGGTCTGCAGAGATGACTTCAGGGTTTATTTGTTTCTGCTCACCTGGAGCACCAGCCGGGTGGAGTCAGTCTGAGTTCCTCCATCATCTAAAGAGAACATTGAAGATCCTCCTGGAAAAATGGAGCTTTGGAAAGAAATCAGCAGGAAGTGAAAGAAAATGGATCTTCATCACTTGTGAAGTGAATGACATCAGAGTTGGATTCAGTGGAGTCACATGAAGAACAGAAAACTGAGGCTAGAATAATAAACATCATGCTAAATATCAGCTGCAGCTAATCTGTCAGAAGAAGCTTCAGGTTGAATCTAAAGGAGGCTGAAGATCTCAAAGTGGATGAGAGGAAACCTGATGAGCTCTACAGTCCACTAGATCCAGATCAGAACCCTGGAGAACATCTACGCTGGAAGCAGAACCACAAGCTAGAAAATATCCAGGTTTCTCTCCAACCTGAACACAGGAAGTCCTTTCTTCTTCTGCTGCAGCTGAGAAGGTCCTGCTGCAGAACTGGAACCACACAGTTCCTCCACAGCAGAACAGAGGAGGTTCTGGAGGAGACCAGGGTCCACATCTGGACTCAGAGTTCTCCTGAGCTTCAGCAGAGCTGCTGGCTTTGGTTCTGATCCGCCTCTGTTCTGGTGTCTGATCTCCAGAGAGGATCTGAAGCAACCCATCAGAACTCAGTGGAGGTGGTGGAGGATGAGGATGGGGCGCGGCGAGGAGGTGGAGGAAGAGCGCCGTGATCCATCTCTCTGCTGTGGAGACCTGAGGGAATCTGACAGAGAAACAGCAGCCTTGAAATTACAACAACACTATTATTTAATAGTGTTGTTGTAACACTATTGCTGTTATTGCAATATCAATGACGATAACGTTTGTCCAACATTGATGTTGAGGGTCAAGTGTTTGGTCGGAGACATCAGAAAGTGAGTTTGTGACAATGGCAGTCTCTCCTCTTCACGCTCGTTCTCAACATAAAGGTTGTAGATGTTCAGATCCATGGAGTTGGAAAAAAACAACCGTCAGCTTGGATGCAACAGAAACAAAGCAAAGCTACAATGAAACATTCAACCTTGCAGAATACTGAATCAAACCAATTAATTGGTGGAAATAAATTTGGTTAGACAAACATTTAAGCAGAACTCCTTTAAAACGTTTATTTCCAGGATTCCAACCACAGATGGATGTTGGAGGAATGTGTTGAATGGTCGGCCATCACACACGTCTTCTGGTTCTGACCACAAATAAAGACTTTCTGGGAGGAAATGAAACAGGAGATTGAGGACATTCTGAGGACAGATCTCCCCATGGAGCCTCTTCTGTTTCTGCTGGACATAAACACCAAGGATTTACTCACTAAACATCAATGTTACATATTGTTGCATCTTCTGCTGCTGGTAGCAAGAAAGACAATTAGACTAAACTGGATTAAACCCTGATCACCAACTGTTGCTGAATGGAGAAAAACTGAAACATGTCAACATGATGGAGCGTCTGAACAACTAGACATGAAAAAAGATAATTAAATATGTAGCTTTGAAAATAAATATTACATCCATCCATTATCTGTTCACCCTTGACCCCACTGGGGTTGGTAGTTGCTGGTGCCTCTCCAGCTGTGTTCAGGGCAACAGGAAGGTTACACTCTGGACAGGTCACCAGTCTGTCGCAGATAAATATTACATTTATAAATATAAATATGTATTTTGAAGCCAAATATTTAGTCTGTAAATTTTGTATACAAATAGTTTGTATGCATTTCCACAATTGCTTCTATGTGAAATGCTAAATAAACTAAAATATTGTTGTTATTTATTTTTTTACAATAAATTAAAATATGGATATTAATTGTTCACAATAATTACTACAGTCATGGTCAAAACTAAGTAAATCCTGAGAATATCCCTTTGAAAACTTTTCAACTTGCCTCTGATTTCACTGCAGACCTTCTACTTCCTGGTTCTGTTGCTCTGAAAGACAAAACTTCAACTGTGACGTAATCACTTGAACAACGACCGTTACATTTACTTTCGATTTGAGTTCAAGTGCTAAAGTGCGACTCCAGTCCAGTTGCTTTGTCTATTTATGTCGATTTTCTTCATCAACTCTTTAGATCATTTGAACAAACTGTAAGTTTATGTTTTCTATTTGGTCTTTGTCTTCAGGAACTTTAATATTTCTGTGGAATCTGTGATGTTTGGAGAACAGGTTCACTTCTGGTTTCAGCTCAAAGTTTCATCTCTGCTGTTTGAAAGTCAATCAAACGAAATTAATTAGATTACAAATTAACTGAAATCAAACAACATGATGAATATCTGATGTTTCTTTGTTTTCTCTGAACAAGTGGCTTCATGGTTTTTGTTTCCAGGAATCAAACTTTGGTCAGAACAGTTTCCTGCTGCATCCTCTCAAAAATACAAATATTTATCTTTTATTCTTAAAAACTATTAATGTAGAAATGTGTTCAGTTCAGTCAGATTTTCATATAGTTAATCTTTGTGGTTGCAGATAATCCACTAGTAGAGATGAATCATTAACTAAAATACTTCCTGTTGTTCAGGTTGAATGAGTGAATGTAAATGTTGCTCCATGTCTCCATCTAGTGGACTGATAGTAGAAGTGCAGCAGCTGATGGCAGCTTCCTCTGCCTCTCTGCTGTCTGACTGCATTCACCTGACACTGATATGAAGCAGAGAAGAAGAGCCAATCAGAGGAGGAGCAGCTGATCTTTTTCCAGCACTAATGATGTAAAGGATGATCAGAGTTGATGTGCAGATGAATGATGTGTTTTTTCCTCTGCAGGTGAAGCTAGAAAGTGTGTGTGAGCTGATGTGGATTCAGCAGCATGGATCAGTGTGAGGACAGAGAGGAGGGAGTCCCTCCCTCTAAAACCACTCTGTGTGGGGAAGATGAGAGCCAGAGCAAAGGTCAGAGGTGAGGTCACCATCTCTAACTGTCCACAGCCCTTTTCACACAGTGTTCACTATATCAGGCCAGAACAGACGTGGTGATGAAGCTGCTGCTGCTCCTCTTTGATGATTAAGTTTTAATCATCATGTTTCTGTCAGGATCCATCAGAGACTCAAACCAGAACTAGAACCAGAACCAGAACCCCAGCTGTGTGTCCTTAAAGAGCAACGACTCAAAGGAAGTGATCATTCTCTTTAAATCTCCTGGATCTCCACCATCAGAGAGGTGAGCTGTTTCTAACTGCTGTAACTCTGGAAACTGAACCAGTAAGAACTCAGATGGTTCCAGTTATATTCCAGAGGTTTGATCCATTATCTACAGAAATCAGCTGCTCTGTTCTCATGAAAACACCTTCATATCTTTATCTCTGGATGTTGATGATGATCTGTTGCTTCCTGGCTCCATGTCAGACTAACAGTGGATCACATTTCCACTGGAAATACCTGGTAAAGCCATTCTGGTCCATCAGGACTTGGTCCCTGTGTGCATTGTGAGAGCAGTTCAGCAGGGAAGGAAAGCTTCATGATGTGGTTGGTGAGATCTGCTGGAACTCAACCAAACTGAGCTGATGTGGACCATCAGAGGTTCTACTGGTTCTTAATGGGATCAGCAGGAACATTAAATCTTAGATCACCTGGTTCACTGCTCACATCCAGATATTCAAGGGATCAAGATCCAATTTAAAATCTTCACTATAACATCCAAGAGAGGACCCACTCATGGACACCCACCCACATATCAGACTTCCTCCATGTCCACATCACCTCAGATCTAGTCATCAGAACATGACTGATATCCCACAGCAGGGGTCACCAACACGGTGCCCGCAGGCACCCAGTCGCCCGCTGAGCTACTTCTAAAAATAAAATAACCATGTCATTAGGGAGCACTACCCAAAAATTATTTAATTTAATGTTTTTACATTGAAGTAATAACGTTTGTTTATATTTAGAGTTCAAAAGAAGGAACTGATAAAAATGTTTAAAATAAATTGCTTTTCGTATAAAACTCTTTCCTGATATTAAAGTTCGGAACTATGCGCAGGCTCCTGCAGGATATTATGGGAGGGCAGCAGCACCTGCAGCTGTACTCTGAGTACCTTGACATTTTCCTTTAAGTAAAGAAAGTAAAGAATAACTTCTGGAATTTTTATTATTTAATGCAATTTACTATTAACAGAATTGTGAAGAAAAAAGATATTTTGTGCTAAAGCATCTTATACATAGCGCACATCTGTCTGAGTCTTTGAGGGTGAGAAACCCAAAGCCCAAATCTTTTTGTTAAATTTACTTTTTGTTTTTTTGGCGGTTTGGGCTTTTTCTGTAAGGCAAAAATGGATGACAGGAGTTTGAACCTCCGACAGTTCGAAGAGCGGTCGTTTGGATCCAGCCGGAGCTTTTTACCGTGTTCGGTTCTGGCGGGTCGTCGGTTTATGAGCTTTGATGTTTTCCGAACTAGAGAGCTGCTGCTACGACTGTGGGTTAAACAATTTAATCTAGCCAAAGTACGAAGAAATAAAGCAAACATTGTTGCTTCACATTCTCGTTATCTGGACGTCTGACACCACCTGAACCTGGGAATCAATGCCAACCTCTTTCCATGAACCACATGGGGAAGCTTGGCTTCCATGTCTTTATTATTTAACATCGTCTGGGAAAACAAGTCCGCTGCTCTTGTGGTTTCATCATTGAAGATCATCTTTCTCTTTCTAAATTCATTGTACTGCGTTCAGATGAAAAATTTTGTTCTCCGTTAAGGACGTTTAATGTCTTAATATTAATGTTTTTATCTATGAACCTGTTTGATGAATATTCGCTGCTTTTCATAATTGTCCCTGGTTCTTCCAGAGTGGACCCGCAGAGCCTAGAGGTTCCCAGTGGTCCATCTGTCCAGAATCATCAAACACAACTGGACTCCATATTTATGGTCTGTATATGAAAATTTTTCCATGCTTTCTGTTCATAGTCATCTCAATGAGGCACTTTGTCAACCAGAGGACTGTCAGTTTGTCCAACATCCATCTGATGTTTGGTTCCATGTTGATGTTTCCTTCATCTATTATATTCCAGCTGCTGGAGGAATATTGTTACTTTCGTGAAGATTGAGCTGAAGAAGATCCAGAGTTCTGAGTCCAGATTACCCAGAACATTCAGAGAGTCAGAGAGATGATGAGGTGTTGGAAGGTGACGATGAAGAGCAGAGGAGGAGCAGCAGAGAGGCAGTGATGAAGATCACACTGAACTTCCTGAGGAAAATGAATCAGGAGAGTTGGCAGATCGCCTACAGTGCAGTAAGAGGATTTTTACAAAGATTTGGCCTGATAGATAATCACATTTATTGATGTCTGAGGAGATGGAATAACATTTGATCCAATCATCTTCATCTTTGTTTCATTATTCATTTTACTTTTTGTGTTAATTTAAAAAATCCTGCTGCAGTTTGTCAACATCAACTTAAATCTGGTCTCAAGAAGAAGTTCCAGTCTGTGTTTGAGGGAATTGCTAAAGCAGGAAGTCCAACCCTTCTGAACCAGATCTACACAGAGCTCTACATCACAGAGGGAGGGACTGGAGAGGTCAATGATGAACATGAGGTCAGACAGATTGAAACAGCATCCAGGAAACCACACAGACCAGAAACAACAGTCAGACAAGAAGACATCTTTAAAGTCCCACCTGGAAGAGATCAACCAATCAGAACAGTGATGACAAAGGGAGTGGCTGGCATTGGGAAAACAGTCCTAACACAGAAGTTCACTCTGGACTGGGCTGAAGACAAAGCCCACCAGAACATCCAGTTCATATTTCCATTCACCTTCAGAGAGCTGAATGTGCTGAAAGAGAAAAAGTTCAGCTTGGTGGAACTTGTTCATCACTTCTTTACTGAAACCAAAGAAATCTGCAGCTTTGAACACTTCCAGGTTCTGTTCATCTTTGATGGCTTGGATGAGAGTCGACTTCCACTGGACTTCCACAACAAGGAGATCCTGACTGATGCTACAGAGTCCACCTCAGTGGATGTTCTGCTGACAAACCTCATCAGGGGAAACTGCTTGCTTCCTCTGCTCTCCTCTGGATAACCACACGACCTGCAGCAGCCAATCAGATCCCTCCTCAGTGTGTTGGCATGGTGACAGAGGTCAGGGTTCAATGACCCTCAGAAGGAGGAGTACTTCAGGAAGAGATTCAGAGATGAGGAGCAGGCCAGCAGGATCATCTCCCACATGAAGACATCACGAAGCCTCCACATCATGTGCCACATCCCAGTCTTCTGCTGGATCACTGCTACAGTTCTGGAGGATGTTGGAGACCAGAGAGGGAGGAGAGCTGCCCAGAACCCTGACTGAGATGTACATCCACTTCCTGGTTTCAGACCAAAGTGAAGAAGGTCAAGTATGATGGAGGAGCTGAAACAGATCCACACTGAGTCCAGAGAGCAGGAAGATGATCAAGTCTCTGGGAAAACTGGCTTTTGATCAGCTGCAGAAAGGAAACCTGATCTTCTATGAATCAGACCTGACAGAGTGTGGCATCGATATCAGAGCGCCTCAGTGTACTCAGGAGTGTTCACACAGATCTTTAAAGAGGAGAGAGGTCTGTACCAGACAAGGTGTTCTGCTTCGTCCATCTGAGTGTTCAGGAGTTTCTGGCTGCTCTTCATGTTCATCTGACCTTCATCAACTCTCGAGTCAACCTGATGAAAGAAACACAAAAATCTAAGAAATCATCATTATTTATAAACCTAAACTAAACTCTCTCCATCAGAGAGCTGTTGACCAGGCCTTACAGAGTCCAAATGGACACCTGGACTTGTTCCTCCGCTTCCTCCTGGGACTTTCACTGCAGACCAATCAGAGACTCCTACAAGGTCTGCTGACAAAACAGGAAGTAGCTCACAGACCAATCAGGAAATAGTTCAGTACATCAAGAGAAGATCAGTGAAAATGTGTCTGCAGAGAAAAGCATCAATCTGTTCCACTGTCTGAATGAACTGAATGATCGTTCTCTAGTGGAGGAGATCCAACAGTCTCTGAGATCAGGAAGTCTCTCCACAGATAAACTGTCTCCTGCTCAGTGGTCAGCTCTGGGTTTCATCTTAGTGTCATCAGGAAAAGATCTGGATGTGTTTGACCTGAAGAAATACTCTGCTTCAGAGGAGGTTCTTCTGAGCTGCTGCCAGTGGTTAAAGCCTCCAACAAAGCTCTGTAAGGACACACATTGTTAATGCAGTTATCTTTGATAAATATACTAATGATGAGGTAAATATTCATGTTTCATTTTATTTATCAGTGCATTGTGTCTTAAAAGTGTCTCTGGGAGACAGATTTCCTTGAGCATCTGGACATAATGTTACATATTCAAGTAGTAAAATATCTCCTTTTAATGCTAAAATTGATTCACTTACTTCTTTATGGAATTGTATAATTCTCCTTGTTTCCTGTCATTCTGTCCTTTAAAACTGGAGGATTATACCATGAACATAATAGGTGTGAAATAGAGGGCTGAAACGGTTCCACGAATGATTTGAATATTAAAATTCCTCAAGAAAAATGTTCCTGCCTCCTATGAGACATAATTTGTTGGGGGCTTTTTGTTCACCTGGTTCCCGCCAGAACATTATTTGAGTTGCGCGGAGCTCTGACTTCTGCCTCTGAGTTGTTGATGAAAGTTAAGTGTTGGCGGCATAACGTCCAATTTTCAAGTCCGGCTGTTTTGGATTTTATTGATTGATGATTATGCCTGGGATATTTATTTCATCGTCTTTGGGACTAATCGACATCCTTAAAATGACTGGCAGCAGCGTTTCTCCTCCAGGAGCTCCTGGTTCAGAGCGAATGGTGGGAAGAGCGATGTGGGACACTAACTAGCGCCATGTCTGTGAAATATTACTATCAGTAATGAATAGTGAAGGTTCAACAGCAAGAGCAGAACCAGCATCTTTCACCACCAGCTTGAAGACTTGATTATTTTTCTGGTTATTTGTTCAGGTTTCTGACCGTGATGCTAATCCAGGTGACTGTTGGTAGTTGAGCTGCTTTACCTGCTGTCTGGTCGCTCAGGATGTCATTTTGTTGCTGCATTGAGCCTCGATGTAGCCAAACTCCATCAAAATCTTGTTTATTAAATGTCATATTAGATTCATTGTACTAATACATTTTAACATGCTTCACCTCCGAGGTAATTTTCAGCTGCATCACACAAACTTCCCCATTCACTATCAGAGAGTTATGATTCCACATGACAGGACTTGTTGCTGTGCAGTGAGAAGGAAAGAGGAGATGAGCTGCAAACACAGGCTGAGAAGTGAGATTAATGTGATCGGTTTTGGTGATCAGCAACAGGAGACAGAAATCGGCCGATTACGATCGGAGGCCGATCAGTCGGCTAACCTCTAATTAATTCATAAATATCATGTGTTAGGAAGGTCTAAGGACGGAAATGCATGCTCTTATTTTGCAGAAAAACTTTGGGATTAAATGGACTGTACAAGTTAGCAAACAGCAGCTCATTAAAACATTAGGATTCTTTCACCTGGTGCTTAATGTACCTAGGAAACCAAACCATCTACTGTATTTACTGATTTATCGGTACATTGTTTCCTAGTCTGCTGCTAGCAGGTGATGAGTAAAAGAGAGACAGACTCTCATCAGCAACTGAATTAATGCAGTTTATTGTAGATTTTAATATTTCTCTTGCCAGCCTCCTTGTTGCCTTTAGTTCAGTCCTTCATGGCTGGAGACCCAAATATAGACTGAACCAATTCATAACAAAAAGCAACATGATTATAAATAACACAGTCCATTAAATCAGTAAGAGGAACATTGTTGACTGGAAAAAAGACATTTGAAGAATTGTATTAATAACAGATTTTCCTCCCTGTCTCCTCAGACTGAGTGTCTGTAACCTCTCAGAGAGAAGCTGTGAAGCTCTGTCCTCAGTTCTCAGCTCCCAGTCCTCCAGTCTCAGAGAACTGGACCTGAGTAACAACAACCTGCAGGATTCAGGAGTGAAGCTTCTCTCTGCTGGACTGAAGAGTCCAAATTGCAACCTGGAAACTCTCAGGTAAAATGTTCTCAATCCTGGTGAAACCAGATTTCTGTCCATTACCTGCTATAAGATATTATGTAAATTTTATTTCAGTATCAGATTATAACATCAATAGATGTCTGACTGTGATGAGGCTAATCATGCTAAGTCTTGACACATAAACTCAGCTGGTTTTCATTTATTCCAGGCTGAAAGAACCAAGAAGAGAGGAATGTAGAAATATGGAGATCAGGCTTTAACTGTTAGTGTAACGCTGGACACTTGAGAGATTGATGAATACTGCACGTCCACAAAGAAAAATTATTGCAGATTCTTCCTCCAACCAGTTGTTAGATTTTCTCTTCCATTTTACAAATGAAATTTTTTTTTTAATTTATCACCTACAGAATGAAATACAATTTTATTTCTATTTTATGTTATTACCAGGTGAATTTCCAGTTTCTTGAGTGTTTATATCATAATTAATATAATTTTTTGCATGCTTGCCTCCATAAAAATATCAGACCTTGGTTTCTACCTCCATGTTCTCATTTTCTCATCATGTGATGAATTGTGTGTCTGCAGCTTATCAGGCTGTTTGGTCTCAGAGGAAGGCTGTGCTTCTCTGGCCTCAGCTCTGACCTCCAACCCCTCCCATCTGAAAGAGTTGGACCTGAGCTACAATCATCCAGGAGACTCAGGAGTGAAGCTGCTGTCGGCTGGACTGAAGGATCCACACTGGAGACTGGAAGCTCTCAGGTATGGAGGAACCTGCTGCAGGAGCAGAGAAGGTCTGATAGAGGAGGAAGAGGGAGAAATGTCTTTAGTCAGTCTGCTGGAAAACATTTAGTTTGAAGATTAAAATTTATTATGCTAATTCAGTATCTGGCTTGTATTTATTACAGTGAAATTATAAATATTGCTAATAATTTTGACTATGTAAATTTGCAAACTACATACAATTAAAAACTATCTTCAAAGCCAAAGTAGCACAAACGAAAATTTTTGCTGCACAAACCAGCACAAACGCAGCCGAGTTGATTGACACCAATTTTTGTCTGATTTGAAGAAGGTGGGGGGGCCAACTTCATTCAGGTGGCGACACCTGGAAAATGATCAAAAGTATGAATGAAATCGGGGAATAAATTAAATCCCTTGTTTTCCAGAAGGAAGGAAGAATTGAAGTGAATGATGAGGAAAAATAGAAATGAGAGCAGAAACTGGTTCAGATCCAAAGTTCTAATAAATTTACTGAGAAAGATAAAAAGACAAGATCAGCTCATCCAGAACTTCTGCAGTGGAGGGAGGATTACTTTCACAAGCCATTACTGCAGCTGCTGGGTTCAGGATGCTGCTTCTTCTTCTTGGGATCATTGTAAATGTGTGCAGCGCCACCTGGTGGTGCTGGTTGGTAGAGGAAGTGCTGAAAGAGACTGATGGTCTGACCCCCTCCTCCTTTCAGGGTGGAGCCTGCTGGAGGCCGATTCTTGACTCCAGGTCTGAGGAAATGTAAGTGTGTTTTTCATCTGATTCATGACAACAAAGCAGCTCACATTCAACCATCTTCAAACTGTCACATCACTCATTCAGGAGTCAAAGTGTCAATAAATGATCAATAACTGCAGCTGGATTGTGTTTGTTCTCTCCATCAGATTCCTGTCAACTCACCATCGACACAAACACAGTGAACAGAAAACTCAAACTGTCTGAAGACAACAGGAAGGTGACACGTGTGGAGGAGCTTCAGTCATATCCTGATCATCCAGACAGATTTGATTTACTGGTATCAGCTGCTGTGTAGAACTGTTCTGACTGGTCGCTGTTACTGGGAGGTTGAGTGGAGAGGAGATGTTTTATATATCAGTGAGTTACAGAAGAATCAGGAGGAAAGGAAACAATGTAGACTGTTGGTTTGGATTTAATGATCATTCCTGGAGTCTGAGATGCTCTGATGTTCATGGTTATTCTGTTCGGCACAATAACATAGATACTCGTCTCTCCTCCTCCTCTGTCTCTAACAGAGTAGCAGTGTATGTGGACTGTCCTGCTGGCA